AACATCACTTTAAACCTCAGCAAAAACCATGGCTATAGTGTATATTAATAGCATATAAAGATAAGCTGGTGAATTTTTTTTACTCGTATGCCCGAATATTCTTGTATAAATGATTAACTACTCAGAAGATCTCTTTCATATGACGAACGAAGACTTCGCATATTTTCAGGTGAATCTAAGGAGAGAGCCTAGAAAATAGTTTCATCAAGAATGTTCCAGTAAACTTAATCGACAGTTGATCAAGAGGAGTCCACCGTCATCTTCTGATTGTATCGGCCTTTGAAGCTTTTCTCCCCACACTTTTACTAGAAATGGAAGTTATCTCAACGATGTAATTTAATTCAAATTAAGTACAAACTAAGCACAAATCTTAGGAAACAATAAAAGGCGCCGCAATCTAATCATTCGTGTTGGCTGCCTCATTACTTGGTCCTAAATAATACAATTAATTCAGCAACTTTATCTGTCTTAATGAGTGCGCACGAGAGACATTGTCAGGCATACTAAGTTGATGAGTTGTAACATCGTGCTAAGTATGTGACGCCCCAAGGCGAGGATCGCAAAATGTCAGGACTCTAATAAATCATCGGTCCGATGCTGGAAACTATCATGAAGACTCTGGCTGATTTATCGAATATTCACACTTTTTCCGTCAGCGAAAAGACGAATGGAACACTTGTATCTGTTGAATGCTGGCCAAAGGTGATCAGTTTCGCTTTCGCTTTGGTCTCATCAGAATTTTCCTCACGAATGCAACCTTTTACTTTAGATCTTAGATATGAAGACCAAGATAGTATGGCCTTCTGTTTGGGCGCAATCTCCTTTAGCGTTATCATGTTGGTCCGACCTTGTTTTCGCAACTTGATCGGAGCGTCAGGGAGACCTTGTGGTCTTTTACTTTAGGCTTCAGAGACAAATCTTTTCCAGACACTAAAAGTTCTTCTTCCGCATCAAATTGCTTTTGCATAATGGTGTGATTTTCTACATTTTTATAACTATCTAATTTAATTGAGCTTGCGTATAGATCCATTTAGCATCTCTAATCTGACTTAAAATCAACCCTTTTTATTGTGGCCATAATTCGGACTTGGACATGGACATTTATGTCTCCTCGCATACAATCAGATTTCATTCTCAAGAGATGCCTAACTGACAAAACTGGTACCAGGCTGCAATGAAGCCCGCATACGCCTAAAGCCTCAACTACCCCACAAAGACGGCGAGTTAGTCCCAATTTGTTGTACTTCATTATTGGCTCTTCACAGATGGGAGATGGGAAAAATTATCGATTGTCTGCTGAGCCACGCTTAGTTTCGGCGGCCCTACATGAACAGGCAGTCAGTCGGACTGGCTTCTCATGGGCACGAGCCTAGTTTTCAGTTAACCTTTTCCCGAGC